GTTATATGCTTAGTTTGAGAACTCTGTTTAAGCGTCCTTTTAAGAAAGAATTGCCTTGTTTTCTCATTTTCACTTCATATACACAGTGGGTAGTCCACTTTTTGTTAAATATTTTACTGTCCTGTCTTATACTTTTCCAAGTACAGGCAAAGAAACAGTGTCTTTAATTCAAATTTTTGAGAGACTTAAACTGGGCAAGTAGCTGAAAATAAAACCAAACAATACACAATATTTAAGCACTAAATAATAAACAGCATTAATCTTTTTCCTGAGCTAGAAGTCCTCATAAAATGCAGGTATGCTACAGAACATCAGTGACAGAGCGCTGAACTGCCCTCAGCCATCCTTTCCAGAATCACCAGTGTTAGGTTGTAAACATCATTGATCATCTCATGCTTTTTATGCGCATATTAAATTCGGAATTATTGGTGAGGGTCCATCTCTAGTTTGTGCAAGAAGAAACATGCCTAGGTTGGCCTCTGGGAACACGCTTCTTATCATATTAATTTGAATATTTTCAGCTTTTCACAGAAATGCTCGGGGGCATTGGAAAGTGGGAAGCATGTAGAAATCAACAGGTAAAACTGTTTATAAGCATTTCTTATTTACAGAACTTTTTAAAAAAAAGATTATTATGAAAGCCTTTCATTTGGGCTGAGAATAAAACTGTGGCATTCAAATGTTTTCTTCTTTTTTGTCCCCTAGAAACCTTTGCCTTTTGCCTTAGCTATCTCTTTCTAGACAGTCTCAGAAAAAAAAAAAAAAAAGAGGAGAGGTTTATGGAACGGTCCAATATTTTTTCTCTGTATTCTGTGGTTCAAGCGTGTGTATTATTCTTTACTGACTACAGTCAGTAGTTAAAACTAGTTCTGAAATACTGCAATTAAGCAGTACATGCTGATATCTCCATAAGAGATGTCATGAATGATTCTTGGTGACTTTTGTTTCTTCCTCACTGAAAATACTATAAAAGTGATGTATTCTAACATAACATATCACTTGTTTTAAACCTGAATTAACTTATTGTATATATTTGTCCCTCTGTATTACATATATGCACACTTGCATGACTGGTTATCCTCATACTTTCTGTACAGAAATAACTGGAGCCACTGGCTGGCTGGCAGAAGTATAGAATAAAATAATGTACTGGAACAATCTGAGATTGAATTCAATGTGAGTTTTGCTGTCTTCCTCCAGAGACAGACTTAGTGGTAAATCTATTATGGATAACACAAGTACTACTGTAGCAAAGTCCAAAGACTAAAAGGTTAAGAAGAAAATGGTAAGGCAGAAAGCAATGCTGGAGCTTGGTTACAGCAACTGTCTGAAATGATCCCTTTTGTCTAGACTCTCTGCATCTCCAGTACTTTGCAAATAGAAATCTACTACTGGACAGCATGATTTACAGAAAGTGACATGAATTTTCTTGTACCTCAAATGACCCAGGAGCTTCCCCAAAAGTAATTGCTATTTGGCTAAAGAAAATGTTTGATCCAAGGATGTATATGGGACTTTATAACACACAAAATACTTCATGAACATTCAGACCAATGTATACAATATAAGAGAAGTCAGCTTCAGCTCTGGTCCTCATTTTTCATTAAAGAGATTTATTTATTATTAAAGCATTTATTTCTCATTCTTCAGTATTCTCACCCATGGAGAGGGACACTCCACTAGCTATAATAAATGAAGCATGCTAGATGAAAGTAGTTTTAAAAAGTGAGGACTGGATATTCTTACATAAATTGCCATTAAAAATACAAAATAGTTTGATTTTATTTTCAAAATGGATATTTGTGAAAAATTCCAATAATGTAAAGTGATTTTATGAGTAATCTTATGATCAGTGCAAACTCTTATATATATATATATATATATATATATTTGTAGGCTTTTATTTATTTATTTTATTTATTTTTATGGTGGTAGAAGAGAGATATTTGAGGTATATTAGATACTTTTGTATTTATAGAAATTCAGTTACACTTTGAAGAATTTTTGGATGAAAACAGTCATGCTGTTATGTTTTATTAATTTGAGTGGCTTATTTTTTTTCCTTTTCTTTAGTCTCATATTCAGCAACAGAGGTAATGAGAATATTTCAGTGAATTATTTCCTTAGATCTCAGGGAGGTGCTATGAAGGATATGCCTCAGCTGAGAAATATTCAATGTACTTCCTTTCATACATACCTGTCAGGGTTAAAATCTTTTTTATTAATAGGCAAAAGGGAAAGATTGTATCTAGTATATAGGTTTCTTCCCCAGGAGAGAGATACCATTCAGAAACATAACTCTTCTAAAAGGCAGCCTTTAGTGCATGCTTCTGTTTTAGTTGTTTCGGGAAACTTCACTTTGGGAAGAAGAGGGAATCACATTATCTAGCAGAAAGGATGACTGTGCTTTCCATGAGATTATAAAGAAACCTAAAGGCAGAGATTTTTATTTGCTTCAAATTCTATGTTCAGAATTTTAAATTTAATAAAATAATCTCTTTCTCTGTGCTTGACATACTGTGCTACAGTCTGTTGTATTGTTGTTGTATCAAATTATAGGGGTTGATATGATGCAATCACTACAAATAATTGCTTGTGACTTATTTATGAGAACAGGTCCATATCATAAAACTAAAATAAATTAGAGTGTGACTCGAAACTGATGCAGTCATTTAAGACTTAAAATATTTTGTCTTTTTTTTCTCTCTTTAGTCGCAATTGCTCTAATGTCTATAGACAATGCTGTGAGGAAAACACTCACACAGACATCTAGATATTGATTACTTAAAAAATTATCAGGAAAGTTAAAAAAAAAAGTGTTATCTTTCCCCAGATATGATAATAATACACACTGTTTCTTCTTTTTTTTCTCTCTACATAAGTGATTGAGTAGATTGAGAAGCTGTAGGCTTTGTTGTTGATTAACATAATGCTTGTTCATTGAACATAAGAAACTGCACTCAGAACTGGAGACATTGCTATCTCTTCTCTGTTCTTTAAGTCAGTGATTAAATGCATTTATTACCTCAGCAAATCTTCAGAGCTATATGCATTACTTTTCCAATAAGATGCTGGGTGGCTTGTTGGCATATCATTTTTGGATAACATTTGTAAAAGCTATACACCTGCAAGCATTTTTGTGATTGCTAAAATATTAGGTGCAAGCTTAGAGCAAGGCTGAGTTTAAAGTTCTGAAATGTTTAAATCCAATGTCTTGGCAAGATTCAGTGAAAGAAAAGTCAAGGAAATATTTATAGTTTCAAAACAGTTGTTTCTATTCATAGCTATTTGACTTTCTGTGTCGTTTTCTTTTTTTCTTATGATGGACTTCATCATTTTGCACATCCTGTGTTTTGTTTTGTTTTTACCATTCTTAAAATGAAATTAATTTCCTCACCCCTACATTGTGGTTCCAGACAGTGGTATTGAAGTTCTTCTAATTTTAAGTCTCAAAAGAGTTTTTGGAAGCTTATGTCTATCAAAATTCAGTGACATCCATAATCACCTGATATGAAATGACTTCTTTCTCTTAGTGTGTAAATCTGTTGTATTCTGGAGATTTATATGGATTTTTTTTTTTTTTTTTTTTTTTCATTCTTTATACCTTCTTACAAGAATCATTTCATTTGGTCTTTAGTTCTGATTTTTAAAAAAGTCTTTGTTATATAACACAACTAGTAGGTGGCTAGTGTATGCAGCTGTTTAAGTGGTAGAAAGAAAGACAGATGAACATAAGACATGCAGTAGATCAAGCTTTTCTCACTTGCTATAATTTGGCATTATTCCAAAGGATTGTAGAGTTCATATCTTTATTAAATATTTATTTCAGTGTGATGGTTAGAATAATGGGTTGTACCCTGGCTCCAATCTATGAATGAGTGAGACAACTGTGCTTGTCTATGTTAATACATAACACAACCCTGAGGCAAAGCATGAGAGCTAGGGATAGCATTCTCTGGGAATGCTGTCTAATAATACACATTCTACCTAAAGCAGTTAATATCCTCTGAAAACTTTAAGTCTGTTTCAGCAACTCTAACTCCATGGGAATTCCAATTAGGGCATTCTTACTAAAGATGTCTGTGTTACAGAAAACTTTGTGGACAATCTGCATCTTCATTTGAAGCTGCATGAAATTCCTTTTTTGAATTAATAAGTATATTGTTGTTGTTATTGTTGTTGTTGTTGTTATCTGTACTTGCAGTACTTTTCTGTGTTTTTTTCCCAGTGACATTTCTAATTGTGCCAGTCTGTGGTAATGATGACCATTAAGCTAATTTTTTGAGTATTTTAACACTAACTTTTAACTCATTCATTTGTTCCTCACTTTATTGCTTTAAATGTCTCCTCTCTGACTCACTGGAAAAGAAACAAAATTCCTCCAAGCTCTGCATGGCATTACTGGGCCATTTGTGTCTGCAGTACACTGCTTAATATGGCAACCAGAATCATTTGCTTCTAGGTTTTCTGAACACTAAGAATCTTCTTCGATGTCAATGGCAAAGGAAACATCTGTGAATGATAGTAAACTTTCTTTTCAAAATAACAAAGGAACACATCTCATCTCCCAACTTCTGAACAGGAAGGATTGGAGTTCCCCCTTAGATCTCTCCAGGGTATGAGTAGTTGCACTTGTACCTTTACGAACTGAGCACAAATGTAATAAACTAAGGATAAGATGGATAGGTCTGAAACTCCTTGGTCTTGTGTAATGACACTATAAGTAGGTCAGCACATCCATAGGTAAATTTTGTTTTTGAGAGCACTGAGTCATATCAGATATCAGATTATTTTCAATGCAGCTATTCGTAATTCCATGTATACTTGCCTTCCATACCCAGCCTTTAATAGTGTCTGGGTAGTACACACAGAGAAAGCTACTAAATCTAATATATGTTAGGAATTTAATACTCTATGTTTTAACACTTCTCCACTTTCATTTTTTAAGGCTGACAAAAATAAAAGTAATTCATTTTTCATTATGATTTATTTCTAAATTTGTCCAACATTATTTTAACAAATATTATTCCTTTCTTATCCTCTCCCTTCAAAAATAATATGCAAGCACAATTTAAAACAAAAAAACAGAGTTCAGAGTAAGGGAATATAGCAACATCATGCCAGATTTGTTGCTGCTGGGAAATTTTGTCCTCCAGATTGCCTTGCTTTCAATGCACTATCATAAAATATATTTTTATGTAATTTAAAACATATGTTTTAAAGTGTGTTCTGCAACAACTGAAGAAAAATGTGTACAACCAACCCATTAAAATTGCTGTGCATTTTGCATACCTTAACTGCAAATACTAGGAATATTTTACATTACAATAATCTTACTATTCTAAATTAAGTTCGGGTGTCAGACTAAAACACTGGGTCTGGATGACAGCTAAATGAAACATCTTTACTCTCCCTTACAGCAAGCTACAGTGAAAACAAAGAAGGGGGAAGGGAGGCAACAAAGTTGTCAATTAGATGAATACAGCTTCTTAATATCAGCAGTAATGGAGAAACTGTTTGCCATCATGCAAATCTGTGCTTAGTGAGCAAAAAACATTCTCTGAGATTTTCCATCAATGTCTGTTGTATAGCTAGCTATATGACTTTTAAAAAAAGTAGTCTGCTGTAATGCAAAAGTATCATATATTTACTTACTAAATATTTTTTATTTTGCAGAAAATTCTAGTGATGTTATTACATATATGCCTATGTGCATCCATTGTTTTACTAGAATATACTGTATTTAGGATAAATATATATATATAAATATATTTTAGTATACCACAATCACTGCCACAAAGAATAATAATGTAAACTCATATTTCACTGTAAAGAACAGATGTACTTTAGCTGACTATTTGCAAGTATAATAGGTGGTTGTGATGGGACTTGAAAAATGGCTTTGTTACTTACAGGAAACATGTCAAAACTGAGACAACTGGAAACTGTAGTACATGAGACACTGGAAAAATCCAGTTTTCTCCTGCCAAAATCAGATACATCAGGATTAGATCCAAATGAATTTACTTGTCTTTCATCTATATAGCTACCTGCATGTGCATATGTTATGTATCAATCAGACCTAAGTTTATATTGACAATATATTTTTAACTATTTTTTTTCTACTGTATTATTTTGTCTTGTTTCTTTTATTTTCTGTCTAAGAGCATTAACTAATTCAAAATTTCATCCCTCTCTGAGATAGGCTGCATATTCTGATAAACCCGAACAGCTGAAAAACTGTATTTAAGGGTAACTATTGCAAAAACTCTTCTGGACCATTGTTGTTCTACTTGTATATGGTGGTACTGACATGTTTCCAAGATTCCGAGATTCCTTTCATTTCAGTGTAGATGGTCTTGATCATATCCTCATTATGTACAAAGTCTTCTGAATGTTGTTCTAATTTGGCCTGTACCTGGAAAATGAAAATTTAACTGTCTTTCTTTTCCCACTTACTACTCCAATATCCTTTAGTAATACAAATCAAAATCAAAATATTCATCTAAAATACTGATAGTAACTTCCATAATTCAAATACAAGGGACAGATTTAAACTCTCAGGAATTAAATTTACGGGAAAAAAAATTGTATCCTTGTAGTTATCGCACTAGAATGAGAAGTCAGACCTGAAATTACTGCAGACACAGAATCAAATCATCATTTGCATCATAACATTTCATGGTGTTGTAGCTGGACTTTGAACTAAAAGCAAACTAAAACCACTTTCCCATGCTAACTTGTGCCTAACTCAGGTGTTTGAAGTAAGGATGGCAGCAGCACATCTCAGGGATGGTCCCCAAGATGGTACATGGTTCACTTGTTGTTAAAGTTCCAATTGTATGTACTTTTTTATTACACTCAAGTTATGTCCATAAATCCCCCCCACCCCCATGCTGGGGGCTACAGCCAGCCTATTTCCATATGGGCTGGGGGGTTGTGACATCAGAGTTATCCCCACCCGCTGGACTATGATCTCATGGCTCTGCCCATGTAAGCCAGCGCCAGCACTTTGTC